AGGAAATAAGTATTAAAGATATTTTATCCCCTAATAGCATGAGTTAAATATATTATATGTAAAATTCATTCAAAAATAAATTAACATATAAAAGGTAAAACCTAAAACCTTATAATTGCTAGAAAAATTTATTGTACATTGAATTTGCGCATTCCTCTTAAACGTTCTTCCTCATGTAAAATATAATCATCTTTATTATTATATATAAAAATGATTCAATTGTGTGATAAGGTCTTTCTTTAAGCAAAGGATGATTAAGTATTTAAACTTCATCATGAAAACCAAACATAAAAATCAAAAATATATAGAAAGTTTTGTAGGAAATAAAAATTAAAAACTAAAGGCTTATAAATTGTCTAATAATTAGATTAATTTTTTCTTCTTCAAAATAAATACTTAATGAATTATTTTTATAAATAAAAAAACAAATAAATGTTATGTGATCATGGTACATGTCACAACGGCGGAATATACTAACACATATCCTCAAAATACTTCCTAGAATAGTGAAAAAGATTCTTAGAAAAGCATTAGAACCTTAAAATGCTAAAATTCACACCAAAATACAAAATTAAATTATAAAAATCAAGTGAAAATGATTGACCTGAAATAAATATGTATATATATACAAAAATTATGTATATATATAATTTTTGAACAAAATTGATATTATTTTTCAATCCGAATATTATAATTTTAGCATTAGTGATAGAAACATTTAAAAGATGTATTTTTATTACAAGTCAAGTCTTCTGCAAATTCTTGCAAAGTGTCATTATATTTTAAGCAAATTCAAATGGATGTTAAGTGTCTGATTTTGCTTCTTTGTTTACACAGTGCACCCTGCATATTAAATGAAAAACTTCATTGTTCTATGAATTTTTAGATCTCTGTGAGGAGATTAAGAGCAGTATAATATCCAGTGAGCATTTGCCTCTCACCCCTACTTTGTGATTTCTCATTATTGTCATGACTGTTTCATAGTTCTTGACAACCTCATCTTTCCCATTTAAGGCCAGTGATGCTGTAGTTCTAGCCTGAGGGACTTCTCATCTTACAGTGAATGTCAGGCAACCCACTGCAGTAATCCAAGATTTAAGTTATGGAAGAAAACATAGCTAAATAGAATCATATTTTGCATGTATGCTTATATTAATTAGTTTTCTCAATCATTTTCTTTTCTCCAAAGGTGGTAAATATTCTGTAGCCTCTGTGTCTGTTGACAGTTAAAGGAATAAGATTTATTTGTATCTAAACAAAACAATATCACTCCTAGTAGTAAAATGTAATGCCTTGTGAAAAGAGAATATAATTTCTGTTTTTCTTTCTAGTATTTTCCATAGTTGTAGAACCATGATTTTAAAACGTTTATGCTTTATCTTCATGGGCCAAGTTAAATATCATTATTTTAATGTGCACTTTGCACTTTTTGCCAAATTTTGCAGTTATAGCCATTGGTTATTTAAGAAACTCAATTATATTTCAATAAAACTAAAACATTAAATTAGGGAAGGAAACCTGCTTCTTTACAAAACTCATACCTAACAAAGCAAAGTAGGACTTGAAAGTCATGCTGTTTAATGTTTCTAGGATATGCATTCATTTATAGCATTTGTCCTCGGAGAACACATAGTAGTTTTTAATCTAGTTACACAGAGATGTAATTTTGCTTTTGAATTTCTAATAAATTATAGGGAATGAAGCCATCCCACACATTAGTCCACAGTTCTATTGTCCAATTGTATGGGCACATGGAAGGAAATAAATCTATTAACTAACTTCATAATTTGAAGTGCAATTCTCTAACAGAGTGGGAAGCCTTGCATTTTTCAAATGGTGGTTTGCTTTCAGGCTCCACTTTAGGTGTTCAGAAACTCTGTGTTTGGTAATATGTCACAAAATTATCGATGATTTAAGGCATATATCCTCTTTTTAAAGTAAGGCAAGTCAAATTACAGATTTGGTGTTACCCCCCTGAAATCTATTTATTTTTCTGACTCTAATTTTAAGCCTGTATGCAACTCTTTCTATGTGACAAAATAATTTTTGGTTTCACAGAATGTTGATAATCATAATAAGGGTTATTGGAGCAATCTTTCATAAGTCAGGACTTGATAAGACTGACTTGTAGCACATGAACTTGGAAACCTAGCATCAGTGGGTTGGCTTTCATACTTTGTTCCACTCATTTTGGAGGATGTTCATAGGTCCTCCTCCTATTTACTTTTCCCTGAGTATTTCAGATCAGCATTGTAAATATATTTGAGACTGCAGTATTATACTCTTTTCTTCTCATTCCTGAAAATTGCCCTGATTTGAAACTCAATACACTGAGCAATCATGATGTGGAGCAGCACATATTAAGGGGATAAAATATGAAAAACCAACTTGACTGAGCATCATGTAAATAAAGAAGTAGTGTTACTTTGTTAGTTAGTCAGACATCCATGTTTTTTGCAGTTCCTGTGAAATGTCTGAAAAAGGCAATACCCTGAGAAGGGAGATTTTGCTCGAAATGCACAAACAGTTCAGTAAAATAAAAATATACGGTTTATGTAAAGGGTATCAAACTACAGATTTCCTTGAATTATATATTATGTTAATTCAGTAGGTTACCTCTTACAAATTTTTAACCAAAAATGTTAACAAATAAACCTCCAATTTAAAATGTCATCTATACAATTCTGTTTCATAGGCAATTTTACTCACCACTGAAACTGTAAGCATTAAATTCCATTGCTCTTCTTTCTTGCTTGCTTATCAAGACAAAGGAATATGAGTGTTTCTAGTTCCTTCATTAAAATGGATATAGAATTATTTTTTATGACAATGTTCTCAGATGCATTTTTGTTATAGAAATAAGGAGGATTACATAACTAATCAAAATTGTTGACTGTGGTGGAAGAATCTCTCATATGATGTTGCTTACATACACTAATATAAACCATCTATGTAAATGTTCATTAATGTTTATAATGACATATTGAATTAGTTCTATTTTCCATGAATGCACAATATTTAGATAATAAATGACAGTCATGATGAATAGATTATATATTTTCTTTTATTTTTCTTTATTCCATGGCCTGCAACTGATAGTCCTATTTAATAAAAAATGAAATTATGGCAAGTCTTTCACCCCAAACAATCACTTCAATTGTCTTTGCTTGCAATGTACTTTTAAATAATTTTTACTTTAATTTTAAAGTGTTTATTCTAAGAGTTGAGAGATACTCTGTTTATAAGAGTTAGTGGATCCCAACTGGTGAAGAGGGTAGCTAATAACCACACGGCTTCTTCCTGCAGTCTTCTCAACATGTCAATACTGGGATGCTTCAAAGACTATAGATTAATTAAGCACAGGTTTTTCATAAGATCTGTTACAGCAGCTCTGTTCTGTCCAGATGAAAAGAATGTGGTTGAAGTTGACGCTGCATGGGTCATATTGATTCTCCAGAGGACTAATTCATTAGTGCTGTGATCAATTAATATGTATTTTATCTTCTTTAATTTCAAAGAACTTCACTTTTCTTTCAATTGTATTAAGTACTATTCACCATGTGTTCAAGGATGTCACTTGTTTGTTTCCTGGCCACCTGGTAGATCAGAAACAAAATAATCACACAGAAAATGTTATTTAAATCAGTGTTTGGCCTATTAGTTCTAGCTTCTTATTGACTAACTCTAACATATAAATTTAACCCATCCCCATTAATCTGTGTAATGCCACTTGGTAGTTTACCTGGTAAAATTCTGACCGTCTGTCTTTGGCAGGGCTACATGGCTTCTCCCTAACTCTTTCTTTCTCACAGCTTTCAGAATAGTTTTCCCCACCAACCTCTATTCTCTGTGCAGTCCCAAGACAGTTTTTTTTTATTCATTAATGGCAATCACATCATACGGAGGGTAATCCCATGTCAAGCATGGGTTAACTACATACTGTAATTATGTTAGAAATAGTTATAATTTCATGTTTTAAATAACAAAGTTGGAAAAAATGTGGTGAATGTTTATCAATATTTTTTAGATTTATGAGATTATTACATAATTACATTAATTTCTCTTCCCTTTCCTCCCTCCAAAACCCTTCCATATAACTCTCTTTGCTCATGTTCNATATATTTCTAAACACTGCCTACAACTGGTTCCATCTGTGCAATGTGACTTATGTACCTGAAACAGGTATTAGGAAACCAACTGGTGTACTCTTCCATGCAGAAGATGACCTCTCCTGCTCTTAGCACTTGTCAGTTGCCTGTACTTCTCTCTACAAAACTGAAGCCTACTGGGGGCTCCCATTTCCACCATTGCAGCTATTGTTCTTATTAAGCTCAATTTTAGGCAATCATGTTACTTTTTCATCTAATCTGTTTCTTTACTTTTATAACTCTGCTTTTTAAAATGTGTGATTGTAAACTCGGCTTTGATATGGTATATGATGTAAAATCAAAGATAATAAAACATGCAAGTGAGAGGAGTGAAATAAGCTAAAGTTTGACCTGATTTAATCCATTCTGAGATTGTAAAATGATTGACCCACTGGTTGTTGAAGATACAAGTTCATGACATTTCTTTGTCAAGAGTGAAAAATTCCCACTGGAGATACAGGGACGCTAGACTGAACATCCTATTTCCCTGACGTTATGAAGAAATAATTGAATTGGCATAAGTGACACATAGATATATATAGAAGAAATGGTGCATTTATATAATTTTATTTTTTCCAAACATCAAAAAAAAATCAGTGATTATTTTGACTTCCTGTTTGTGTTCCAAAACAAAGTGCTACTTTTTCCATTGAAATTTCATGCTTTTGTGAGAGTTACACTTGAATCGACAAAACAGACTACTCAGAAATTGTGCTCACATGATCTTCTACTTTCTCTTCAGGCACTTCCCTGTGAGGTTAATCTCAAAGATTAATAATAAGCCCGATGCTTTTTCTTATTGCAATGCTTTAAAATAAGTTTATGTTTTTTGTTTTGTTTTACTTTTCTTAGCAATGGTTGTCTTGAGCAGCCTGGAACCAAATACAACTTATGAAATCAGGGTTGCAGCAGTAAATGGAAAAGGGCAAGGGGACTACAGTAAAATAGAAATATTCCAGACACTGCCAGTCCGTAAGTAATCAGCACTGCTCTGCTCTCTGTCATCAGATTCTTCTCTTGAAAATGTAATGGGATTTTTTTTTAATGCAGAAAATCATTTCAATACTCACGGAAGTGAATTGTATCTCTCTAGAAGTGTTTCCTGTGTTAGTGGCATCATGGCTTACATTTCTCAGAACCTGGGAAGAAAAGAAAAAAAATGATGGAATATAAACAGTAAAGCTGTTCTTAGTATATCTTTCAAATTTATAATGTGATTAATTAGATTATGGGTGCAGATTTTATTATGTTTGTAGAAGAATTGTTGTGTGTCATGTCTCTTTTAATGAGACACAACTATTATCCCACAAATTATGTGAGCTGTAAGAAAAGGGAATACCAAACTCTAAATTAATTGGTTGCAAAAGTAACCAATAATAGGAGACCATAATCATCTGTGGCCTTATTCTCAAAACTATGCTGTTTTAAGTAATTTTTAGTCAATTTGGTTAATCTAAAGTTTTGAAATTTTAAAAGGCATAACTTTTGTATCATTTCTAAAATGTGAGACAATTTACTGAAGAGGACTGAACATTGTTGTTGCAAAATATTGGTACAAATCTGCCTGTTCAATGCAAATATTACTTCATTAAATTGACTACTATAAGTTCCTGCTCTGTCATTTGAGCAGTGGTTTTCTAGCGCTTCTCAAAATCCACCAGGTGATGTCCCTTTTCTCCATTCTCATATTGCAATATTTTAATTCCTTCATTATTTTTACCAGACTGTCTCCTAGGTAAGTGTATCAACACTCCTACCCAAATCTTAAATGACTTGTATATTCTATTTTTATTTTTGCAACTACTGATGATACCCAGAGGTGTTGCAAATTCATTCAAAATGGAAGCTTAATTAATTCAATTATACTCTGGGTAATCTTTATAATTCTGTGCGTTCCTACATTTACAGACTTTGAACAACTTTTCTCCTCTTGAAACGCCAGTGTGCATGTTTAAGAAAAATAAATCTCTACTCTTGATACTGAGTATATGATTCAGTCATCAAAGTGTTGCTATTTCATGAAAGCATGAGAACCTGAGTTGAGATAAACAGCACTCATATAAAAGTTGAGTGCAGTGTTGTAGGTTAGTAAGATCAGAAGTGAATTGGAGGTAGAGGTAGATAATTCCTTGATGCACACTGACCAATAAATCTAATCAAATTGGTAAGCTCTCTGTATACCAAAAAAGGTGAAGGTCAATGGAGAAAGATAACAAAATTTCACTTCTGATTTCCACGGAGATGCATACCTGCATGCACATGGATGTAACTGGACGTTTCTCTCATGCCCACAGTTCCTGGGGCTCGATAATGAGTCTTTTGGTGCCTGTCATCCTCTTTGACGTAATTGTTGCTGAAAGGACCAGAGTTGTCTAATGTTGAGAAAAATCTACATTATTAAACATTTTAAATGTCATCATTATGTAGGTCTTTGAAGTGATTGAAGATTACCTATGTATCTCAAATATACCACTGTATCACCTTGAAATCCTCCTAGCATGACTATAAGTTTGTTAGATATGGGTGGTTATTAGCCTGTAATTTTATATTGTCTTGAATAGTTTTAAAGGACTAAAACTTAATGTTGGACAATTGTGTAAGTTGTATAGTGCAAGTGAACTGTATAGGTATAACCTTAAGCAAAAATAGAAACAGATGTGTAGAATAAGGACAATAACCTTGATTTGTATCAATATACAAAAATCCTTTAAACACAAATAGAAATGTAAACAGTATAACACAATTAACCTTAAATTTGTGTTATTATACCACAATCCATGTCAATGTAAAATATTTGATAGTGATAGTTGTCTTTTTATTCTATATTGCACTAAATATTAAAAAAAAAAACATATATAACCCACCAAATAACTAAAAAAACTTTCCTTACTGCCCAACTCTGGGGAATGTGGATGCTATTTCTCAAAATGGATTCCTTTTGTCTATGGACAAAGTATATTTAGGTTCCCTGATACATTTTTAAAATAATGATCAAATCCTGGGAAGACCAGCAGTAACCTTTGTTGATAAAAATCACCTATCAAGTTTCAGGTGATCTCCCTTGATTAAAACATATTCATATTAACTAGGACTGAATCCACAGCCTCTTTTTTTTTTTTGTGGAAACAAAATAAAACCACTTCTCCAAAGCATTTTTGATTCCCATTTGACAAGTACTTTTTTTTTTCTTTAAAGTTAAGGCATTACAAACGTATATAGCCTGGTTTATTTTAACAGTCCTTCTTTTAATTTTAGGTCTCTTAGTAGCTTTTGTTTGTTTATCAGCATTTAAAAATTTTAAAATCAACATAATAACATACAGAATCCAGACTTCCTGTGTATTTTTTCATCTCCACAAGATTTAACTATTTTTATTTTTTACTTCTCTCTTTAAAGACTTTATTATTTTTAAGCTATTTGTTCTTTCTATTACTGTTTATATACTTTTTTTAAAAAAAAGCATACATAAAATTATGAAACACATTGGAACCTGTTTAGAGTTTTATGATTTTTGTTTTGTTTTGTTTTGGTTTGGACCTACTTAACTATATATCTCCAGTCTTTCATAATCTCATGAGGAAACTTCATACTGTTAAGCTATACCCTAGTGCTCTAGCATCTGACACTGCTCTCAGAATGGGTTGTGAAAGTTATGTGCAAAGCCCAGTCAGAGGAGCATGACCAAGAACTGCATTTAATCCCCCAGAGTTCTAGAATGCTGATGCTTGCCCATGGCAGGCATTTTTTCACTTTATTTTTTAATTTCTACATAGCATTAAAAAAACTGTTTAAGTACTCTGGTATGACCAGAGTTTCTTAAAGATGTCTTATTTTCCTCCTTTATTAGGCCCCTCATAAAAATATGGCCATATGTTGGGTGCCAAAATGTAGTTGGAAGTTTTGTTTTGTTTTGTTTTGTTTTAACCCCACTTTGGAACACAAAAAATGTTTACTAGAGGTTCCTCTCCTGTCTGGTAGCCCATGAATGAGACTTAATTAATTATAAATGTTTGGCCAATGGCTCAGGCTTATTAATAACTAGATCTTACATTAAAATTAACCAATTTCTATTAATCTGTGTATTGCCACATGCTGTGGACATGGTGCTGGGGGATGTCTATTAGACTCCACTCTTTTCCTCCTGTATCTCTGCTGGGATTTTTTACCTGGCTCTATCTTGCCTTGCCATAGACCAAAGGAGCTTTATTTATCAACCAATAAGAGAAACAAATATTCAAATACACAAGGGGACATACCACATAATATAAGTGCATTCATATGTGTACCCACAGATATGAAGGTCACACACAGTCACACACACAGTCACACACAAACCACTACCATCATGACTCTTATTTGTTCTGATTTTCTCATGTCTTCTAAATTATAATAAAGATACATTGTAATATATATACTGATGTTGACTTGTTAACCATTCTCCAACTTTGTGAGTTCTTTGAAATTAGGGGCAATTCTTTTATTATTGGGTTGATCAAATTCTCACAAATAGAAGACCTTATTTTATCTATTTTACTGCAACATAATCTTTATTATTTTATATTTAATTTTTAAAATGAATATTACATTGTAACAAAGTAATGTTCGATGACTGTGATTATTAACATTAGACTTTTATGAGATTTGGCATAATCATTATGGATAAAGAAGGAGTTACTGAAGTCCTAGCCTGCCTTAAGGGGCAACTGTCTATTTTCTGGGGAAAGGAGTGTCCTTTCCTTCAGTATTGTAGCCAATAATAAATTGCCCTTGCTCCATTAAACAATTTCCTAAAACACTCTAAATAAATTCTGTGGCTCACACACTGAAAAATACATAAAAGACATAAAGACAGAGATGGTTTTCAACAGGAAATAGAGAGAAATGAAGTGAAAACAATTTAATTTTCATTATATAAATTTATGAGACTTAAATAATGAAATATTAAATATGACATTTAAGTTAAATTATAAATCTATGAATGAATACGTTTTGTGTATGTGAGGCATAAATTAAAATCCAATGGTGAAAATTTAGTTTCTGTTTTTTAACATCTATAAATGTAATTATTACAAGAAAATGATTGCATTGTCATCTTAAATGACCCTCTTCTATACACAGTGTCATTATTAAATAAATCTCTTCTATACAATATGAAATTTTCCATTTTAAACATAGAAATTCTACTAAAGCAGCTGAGCTGTAAAGTTTATTTTGTGAGTGAACATCAAGTTATGCCACACCAAAATACAAAATAAAGTGAACCAATAAAAGATCATATATTTGGTATATAAGTTGATGGTTTAACTAGAAAGCAGCCTTATTAGGGATGTACAGTGAAAGTTTATGAAGAACTTCTGTGTTTTTTCTTAGGTGAGCCAAGTCCTCCTTCCATACATGGACAGCCAAGCAGTGGGAAGAGTTTTAAAATCAGCATCACAAAACAGGATGATGGAGGGGCTCCTATTTTAGAATACATAGTGAAATACAGAAGTGTAAGTATCTTTTGATTAATATTTTGTATCTTACTGTTTGTTACATGATAAGTCACCATAATCTTAAAGATTGGTAAGGAATGTATCTATAAAGTAAAGTATACATTTTAGTTTTTCTATTTCTGAAATTTACCATTATATTTGTTACCTTGTATTTTATTAAGCAACATGTACTATTTTGAAATTTTTTGATGGTTTTGACCCTAATTCTAGTCTATAATGTGATTTAACAACATGAGAGATAGCATTTCTCTTCTTTTTTTTTTAAAGTGTTTTTTTTTTTTTTTTTTTTGTTTTTTT